GTTCTGTTGTGTGTCGTTGTGTCCACTAACCAGCAGGTACGATCGAGTAGTTAGTTTTTATCCTTCTTCCTTTAGATGAGGAGGTGACAGCAGTGGATCATAGCATTACAGGGAAAACTTATCTTTAAAAGCTCACGCTTGTGTTTGTAATCAGCATTTCTAACCTGAGGATATTCAAGAGTCAGCATCAGAAATGAGAAGACGGAGGTTACAAAAAAGAACTGTACATTTATCCCCGTTTACTGCCAAGACCGGGAGAGGAAAGACCTCCTCACAGCTAGCAGGAAGCTAACACAGTAGCCGGTACAGGTAGGTGTGTGCGCACGTTTGTGTTATACAGAGTATGAAATGTTTTTAGGCAACTTTGTCATGAGTTTTATGCAAAAGTAAAACCTTGTTAGAGTGTTTATTACAGCGTAGACAAAATCTGAGCGATGAGCGTGCCCCCCCCCCAAGAGCAGCAGAACCTCCTCCTGATAATCATTACGTTTTCAGTTCACTAACGTCGGGGAAAACGATCCAAACCATACAAGTCGCCCATCAATTTAAAGCCCAGACTCTGCTCTTTCCAACATATAAGTGTCACAGCTCTGCGTGAAAAATTCACGGAACAAGCAGCCAAGGAATAGTGAAAAAGGCTAAATTTTGGAAACATAAACACGAACGTCTTTCCTTTGTTTTTATGTCTTTAATCCACTTTGGAGTGATTTTTTCCACTTGGCTGGACCTGTACATCTCCTGTGTTAATGTTGGGACATGTAATATGATAATTCTGTACTGTGGAGATCATTAAGAGTCATTGTAAGGTGAAAAAAATCTTTYGCTAACACTGTGTTGACCGCGAACCGGAAGTGATCGGAGTGGCACCAAGTCCTGGACCGGATGTCCGTGRCATAGAGGCTATTCTGTGCCGTGTACGGTTGTTGCAGCCGCTCTAATCGTGACAAATATAAAAGTTCTTTTCATGTTCTGAAAGAAGCAGCGATTCAGAAAAAAAATGACAAAAGTGGATCAACAATCTACGGCTAAAAACAGGAGGAGAGGAAGCGACCACTTTCTAACGGGTTAACTCCTTTTTAGCATTAGCGATAGCATTGTTATCATAAGCTAATTAATGAAACTAGCACAAGCCCCTCCTCACCGGGGCAGAAAAAAGTGGCGCGCCATCACATGACTGCAACCCAGTAAGTGCCACGTATGTTTTATGGTCTGGCCTCGGACCAGTTTGATATCAATAAATGAATAAATACAAGAAAAAGATGCAAACGACAGCAAAAACCTTGGAGGACCAACCTGTAGAAGCCCCCAGYCGTTGGGACCGCTGGTGGACATGATGACGCCCTGCTGCTGGAAGGTCTTGAACCTCAGAGCGAGTTGGAACTGCTGGCTGTCTTCATCCATCCTGTGGAGGAACTTCAGGTAGGACTTCCTGTCGAACCTCAGCGCCGACTCTGAGATAAACAAACAAACCAGGCATGATTTCACATCGCCATCGGCAGAATGTCCTCGCGTCCACTTCAAAGATGTTGTCCAGGTTTATTTTCTTCCAAAGTCACATTTTTCTTTAACATAAATACTTTTATTACCACTCGTTTGGATTATTGTAATTGTTTGGATGCTGGCTTGGATAAATCATCTCTGCGTCGTTTACAGACTGTCCAGCAGCTCGTCTTTTAACTAAAAACACAAACACATAACCCCATCCTGGTCCTGGCTTCTCTCCATTGACTTCCTGTTCACCTGAGAATTGATTTAAGATTTAACTGTTGGCTTTTAAAGTTTTTAATGGTCTGGCCCCATCATATTTATGTGATCTATAATAAGAAAAATCGAGTCAAGTCAAGTATTTCAAGAGTCTTAGCAAGTAAATTTTTCTTACTCCCTTGGCAAAAACTTAATTTGAGTCAAATTTTCAGGCTAACAAGACAAATAATCTTACACATTCTGAAAACAAGATGATTATTCTTACAC